AAAAGAAATTTTATTTTTCTTAAATTTTGTTTTCATTTTGGAAATATTACTGGGGGGGGGGGGGGGGGGCTCACAGTGCCTGTAGCCCGGGGCCTACACAATCTAAATCTGGCCCTGGCTGTGGTCAATAATTGATGGGGTGGGGGGGGCTGTTGCACAAATGTGGCATAGTTTAATGGGGGAGGGCACCCTGTGAATATTTCAACGCTCGGTGGTAATCTCCGATAGCCCAGGGAGTCTCATGTGGGAGTTTTAAATGGCTCAAGTAGTTAGTTTTTAATGGATGAAACGGGGTTGTTTTTGCCTCCGGGATACAGCATCCATCTGAGGACACTTCACGGTTATGTGTGTTTTTTTTGGGAGGTGGAATAAAAACAAAACTTTGGTGGAGATAAGTTTGTTCTTAAAACCTTACCAAACATCTTGGCCAATGCTCGTGCACGGGTTTGTGACGTGGCTGACGACGAGCGCATTCGCCGCTTTGTTGCAGTGGGGGTTCCTGGTTCGGGGCGAGTGGCCACCCTGGTTAATATTGTGGGGGCGTGTATTCACCACGCAAAGACAAAACTATAGACCCCCTTTAACAAAACAAAAAATGTAAAACTTTTCCCGGCAGCTCTTCGTTTTTTGTTTGTTTGGTAACCGCGCTTTTTTTTATTGAGTCACAACAAACGTTCACAATCCACGGTGGTACATTCAGACGACGGCAAGCTCCTTGTTTTAATTTTCTCCGACACAACCACCCACCACCCCCCCCAAAATAAAATAAACCCAAGACGAGGTGAACAAACGGGCAGGCAGAGAGACAGCACGAGGAACGAGGCGAGTCGCGCAGCCCTCGAGGGCAAACAAAGTCAGCGCGTTTTCTCTTCTTTTTCTGTGCAAAGACTTGGCGTGCGTGCGCGTGTATGGGGGGAGCGGTAGTGTAGCGGTTAGCGCTCACTCTGCGCCAAGAACCCCGGGGCGAACCGAGTTCGATTCCCGTTCGCGGCCAACGCCAGTGACGATTATCTGAACCGGGCCCTGGGTCCCTCCTCCCCTAGGTCGACTCGGCCTCAAACGAGTTACCTGCTGCGGGTGTGCAAACATCGCCACTGGGGGAGACAAAGGCGGTCGGGCGTGGTTGCTGGCCACCCACCCCCTCGTGTGCCGTTCCGGCCTTCATAGGTGCAGCTCGCTAACAGCACTTGCCCCAGCAGTCTGACACAGGTTATACGGGGGATGGTTGTCTTTGTGCAGGGTCTGTGACGACGGCAAATGAAAGCTTCTCCCAATAAAGAACCCCTCCCATACACCTCCTCCACCGAACAGAGTTGTCACGTAAAACACACGGTGGCGTCTGGACATCCATGACACACACGGTGTCTGTGCCCGTGCACAATCTCGCATTGGGAAAGTCTTCATTGATTTTGGGGTCGAATTATCCTATCATCATCATTGTTTCTCTAAGCTTCATAAGACAAATGATATTATTACCGCCCGTGTGGAAAGTTTATCGAACTTGTATTTCTTTAAACAAAGGCCCCCTTGCACGTAAAACTATCCTCGATTACAAATGGAAAAACCGTGCAGTCGAGATAGCAAGCAGGCTTATTGGCAACCGTAAATGTTTTAAAATTTAGTTTTCACCTGTGAAAGCCAGACTTTGAACAGGAAGTCGGTATTTGGTCACCGCGAGGAATAGCCTGGCCCCGGCCATGGACATTGAGAAATTACCCTACACTTTAAAATACAAACAAAAACATGTTGACGTGAAGGGCACACAATACCTTGCAGGCGTCAAGAAAATACATGTACACAGCAGCCCTCATTCAGTCACTATCCTTTACATGGCCAGTTTGATAAGTTTATACGCCACGAGCGTACGGAAACGTGTTGCGCACATTTGATGGGATTTTATGTGAGCGACTTTGGCGTGTTTAAATGTCTCTATGCTGGAATGATTATGGCAACTGCGGAAGAAAGACCGTCACGCGCTGATGATCTGTAGTAGTAATAATAATACAACTACATTGGTGTAAAATTGTTTGAATTATAAAATTGTTTAAAGGTGACTTCTGGAGTGTTACAGCTGGTGACAGGATCAGTCTGTGCACTTACATTTGTAATACACGGGCCTGCATGGTGTTGTGTTTTCTTGGGCCTGCAGGATATTGTACTTTTTTTTAATACTGGAAAACTATTTTTTATTCCGGTTTATGGGCATTCTTGTCGGAGTGTTCCCATCCTTTTATTCCCTTGAGATGTTAGTCCGGGATCTTTTTCAAATCCCCAATGTTGAGCTTCTGCAGATAAGTGTCTGCACTCCACGTTGCTGACATTGAGCTGGCCACTGGCTGCGCTGTGCCTCGTGCTCCCAATTCGAGATAGCAGAATGAGTTGGCCGAGGCCTACGACCAGAGCCGGCCCAGCCACTAAGCGACCCTTGCAATTGCAAAGGGCCCCGTGGCCAGCAGAGGGCCCCCTAGAGTTACTGCTAGCTAGTGGGTGAAAAAAATCATACATCAAAGGGGCCTCCAACCAAATTTTGCTTAGGGCCCCCAAAGGTCTAGGGCCGGTTCTGCCTACGACCTCTCTCTGGGTGCATAAAGTACCACTTTGTGGAAAGCCAACAGTGGGTTTATCCTACAGTGGCACTGGCTCACGGCTTGGAAATGTGGAATTTCCACAGCTGGGTTAATGGGGCCACCAACAGAAAGCAAAAGGTGCCGCTGCCGCATTGCTCGTCTGACCTTTGACACCACACCGACCAACAACGGGTTGAAAGCGGTGGGGCGTGGGGGGGTGGTGGGTGCGGATCCACGCTGCAAACTTCATCGCCCTCACTTGCTGAGGCAATAGCTCGGGTCCACAGAGGCAAGCGGGTGAAGGTAACTCACGGATTCAACCACGAGGGCAAACAAATGCGCCGCGCCCGCCACCGCCGTCTCTCCTCCCAAGCCAAGCCAGCCAGCCGTGTTCACGGACAATGCCCTGGGTTCTAGATTTGAAGCTTTCGTGACTGTAAGGATTCATATTCTTAGGTTTTTTCGGTAAAGTCACGTAGGTAAAAAAATTTAATTAATAAAAGTAAAATAAAATAAAAATCACGACGTTTCGGAGGCAACACAAGCTTCCATCTTCAGTCTTTAGGTGGAACCGTCACAGCCACGCTTGCTTACTTGATACAGCAAGCGTGCTGTGACGGTTCTACCTGAAGACGGAAGCTTGTGTTGCCTCCGAAACGTCGTGATTTTTATATATTTTTATTTTATTTTACTTTTATTAATTTAAATTTAAATTTTTTACCTACGTGACTTTACCGAAAAAACCTAAGAATATGAATGCCCTGGGTAACACGTGCGGTCATTCGAAGGGGTGTTCCACGTTCGCCAAGCAGGGTTCGCCAGGAGGAGGAGGAGGCGTCCCGCGGGGCATTGAGTGGCACCACCGCCTCCTCCTCCGTTGTACCCCCTTCAGCTCAACTTTAGAAGTTGTGGGTCCCCAACAAGTAAACATTGCACCTTTGTCCTACATTTATATGTTTTGTCAAACCAACCATCAACACACGACTACAGTAAACATAATCGTGACGTTAAAGTGCAAGTCTAGAGGATGTTATTTTGTTGTTGCTATATACACCGATAGCCATGGTCCATACTGCTGTGCGTTACAGTACTGTATCACCTTGGGTCATGTACATGAGCACGCGTGTGCAAAACGAACAGGCTATTTGACATGACACCATCAGTTTTTTTAAATATCGGGGGTAGAGTTAAATAGCTATGTTATTTAAATATATATATTTTTCTCAACACAACAAAGGGTACCGATGCAAAACACGGCTGTTCTAAGTCGAGCCGCCATACACGACCGCGGCAGAGTGAGGTCCACCGACTTTAATGTCGACCGCTCAACTCGAGGGATATTGTGTAACGCTCGCTTCAGATTGACAAGTGAGCAGGGAAGTGTCGTAACCCTCCACGTTGACAAAAGACAAAGAGTTCACTGCTTTAGCCCACCGGTGTGTTGAAGCGTGAAACCACAACATTTACAATTTTTGGGTAGGACGACGTTTGGCTGGTAATTGCATTCAGCATCATCGGGCAATTCGCCAGAATGGTGAGGCTCTGCTCTGGCTCCCGGTCTTAAATAGAGCAGCAGCAGGGTGACGTCATCATTTAACTCATCAGGTGCAGTGAACTATTTGTCTTTTGCCAACGTGAAACTTTTTTTTCTGATTGGCCGTGTCGGGTGGTGGAGGGTTACGACACATTTATAAGTAACGCGATCTAACCCAAAAAGTTGATTATGAATTATAATGGTCGCGAAAGCCTGCTACGTGTTAAACTGAGCAGGGAAGGTTTGGCAGACATTCGAACGAGACCCTGCGTCTCAGCAGATGTGGCCTAGCAAGCTTTCCGTAAGTTCTCGTCGCTAATTCTTAAACGCGTGGGGCGCCACGGTGAATAGGAGATGTTAACTACCTCGCCTGGTAGACAGGAGGTTGTGGGTTCGGTCTCGATCCTGACGACGCCTGCTGTATATTTGGAGTTTGCGTGTTCTCCCCGTGATCGCGTGGATTTTTCCTCCGGGTCCTCCGGTTTTTCCCTCCACATTTAGAATCAACGTCACGCGCTTAGGGGATTTGGCTGCGATACATTTCCACATGATAAGCCACTTCGTTGAGCTATAATTTGTGGCGTAGGTCGCTTTTGAAAAAGAGTTATATATAGCTCAGTGGGCCTTAACCTGGTAAAATAAAATAAAAGTTAAGTTAAGTTTTTATTTAAGAACCAATTGTGTTTTTTATTTGTTGCGATGAAAGTAAATAACTGGGACCAGCAAGAATATGGCACCCAATAATAAGACAAGGACTGACAGTATTTGCGCAGCCCATGAACACTGCAGGTCATTAGGCACATTGACGATACGGGTGCGAGAATCGACTGTTCAGGAGATTTGCACATTTTATAAAACGCTATAGAGTTAACATCATTGAGTTTTTTTTTGGGGGGTGGGGGGGGGGAACAGGAGACAGAATAAGAAATGAAAAATACAAACGGGACGGTCAGAATGAGATTAAATAAGACCGATCTCTTGAAGAGTGTCCCCCACCATTTGTGATAAATCTTTGATTTAACCGGGGAGGTTAATCATGCACATGCCTCCAGTAGTCGTCTGCACCCGACAAATAATCCTTAGGGCGGTACCCCGGGGTACCAAATAATACAAATTGGCCGAGGCAATTAAATATTTTATTTCTGGGACACTATTTTTTCCCAGGGGTGTTACTTCACTCCGCGACTGGGGTACCAATCAATCCTAAATCGGTGGTGCCACTCCGTGGTAGTGGTGCATCGTGTACAGCTCGCCGAGATGAGTCTATTGCCGCGTCGCCGACCATCAACAGACGAAAAACGACTGCAGGATCTCTTGGAATTTCTCATTTACTTGATACAGCAGTCGTGCTGTGACGGTTCCACCTGATGACGGAAGCTTGTGTTGTCTCTGAAACGTCGTGATTTTAATTTTTTATTTTATTTAAATTTTACTTTTATTAATTATAATTTTTTACCGACGTGACTTTACCGAAAAAACCCAAGAATATGAATCCTTGCAGTCACGAAAGCTTTAAATTTAGAATGCATCACGGACATTGTGCGAGAGCCGGGGTACCGCCATGAGGTTCAAATGCTCCCATCCAAGGATTGCCTCGGCAAGTGCAAGCGAGAGAGTCAGAAAGTCCATCGTGGACCGCCGCAGTCATCCTCGTCCCCTGCCCATCGGCGTCACCTGGCGCCCTCTTACACCACGCCACCGACTGTCTTGTGCCAGCTCAAAGTGAAACCGATTCGTCAATAACCAATTTGGGAGCAATGCGGCCATTTGTGAAAACGTGTTCACGTAAACAGCGAACTGACACAGCTTTGCTATTTTCTCACCACTGTAGACCCATTTTGTTTAAATAACCATGCCACGTCATGATGTCAAAGATATTTGCGCGTACAGACCTCTCACAGTGAGCAGTGTACCAGTGTGCCAGAGCAGGGCCCTGAAAGACGACGCCAAAAAGTGTATCAAGAGGGCCTTGAGTTGGCCTCAGAAACGCACGCGAGAGGCACCGCTGTATGTACCCTTCAAACCGTGTTCGTCTTGTGGTCGTAACACTCACTGTGTTTTCATTCTCCGAGTTCGAATGAATCAAGTTAACACACACACGCAACAATTGTTTTAGGAAATGGGTTTTTACGTGTGGGCATTGGTATTGGACTTTACAGCCTTCAACTAACTCGACTCAAGAGTCCCAGTTTAATCGTGGGGTAGTTGTCCAAATTAAAACTCAGATTTTTTTTAACGGTGTCCAATAAGTGTTCCGATCTGTGCCATTGTCAACTGGGGCAACATCGTTTTCCTCCCAGACAAGCAGAGCCGTGTGTCTGGTAAACAATATCGGGGTGACATCACGGCGCTTTGCCTGATGTGGTTCAGGGTGCATTTCACAACAACAACTGACGGGACATTCCTCAGTCGTGCAGGAGTGTCTGATGGTTGGCTCCTTTAAAAAAAATGCAGTCTGTTGTGCAGATTATTGAACAAACGCAATTACTTTTGAGATCCCGCGTCTATAATACAATCGCTTGCGTAAGTTTTGAACCCAGGTTCTGAGAAATATACGTTGCGGATTGGTTGCCCAAAGGCACAGCAGTCACCTCAGCCTATGCTCCACAATTGCAAGGGAATTGGGCGATTGAATTGTTAAATACATTTTTTTTTTACAATTTTGGAAAAGCATGTGGCTTACACAAGTCAGGATAAAAAAAAAATGAGTACAGAATTTTGCATGTCCTCAGTTTCATCATAATCATCATCATCATTTTGATCATCATCACCAGTAGATGCTTTCTGTGAATTGTTTACCATGGTGAGGAATTTGTGAATTCTTTGCAATGTCTGGAAAAAGATTGTAAAGGGAAATTTTGTAATCAAATATCGCATGAGAAATTGGTTTAGAAATTCCAGTTTGAGTTCCCAGTGAAATGATCGGTGTCTGCGGCCATCGACTGCTCCACAGACGAGTTATATTTGGAAATCCTGAAGCCACAATCTTCGAGGCCCTTCCTTTGGTCACACTGCACACTCGAAAGAAGGCGGGTCGACAAAATGCCTTCCTCCTCAAACGAGTTTCAAAATAAATACAGAGAACAGGCACCGTTAAGGATGATACAATTTCATGACCCCCCCAATTCTGGGTTATACAAAAGCCCCATTAATGCAACTCGTGTGCCGCTTGCGAGCCACAAAACACGCACACACACGCACAGCATCACAAAGTCATTTAGACACTGGCACAATGCCATGCATGTCCCTGCAGTGGGCACACATTTCACACCACCACCACCACCAGCATGCACAACAAAGCCACAGCATTCTGCTTTCGGGGTTTTAGGCTTCTGGAATCGATAGCCACGCTGGGACGGAGAGGCATTTAAGGTCCCGGGGGGGGGGGGGGGTGCCTGTTTACGGCAAAAATGCAGTCAAGGCATTCGTGCGAAAATTTCCAGGCTTTGGCACACGAAACGGATAGAAACGAGCGGCTTGGAACTATTCAGTGGCCACCATAAAACCACGATCACGATGGGAATGAGGAAGATGCGATCTGCACATTTCCTCATTGGGTGTGGAGTATGAATAGGCGAAGGCAATGTTACCTCGTCATCCACGCAAGACTCGCGCAGGAATCCGGGACTCTCAGATACGAATTCCCAAATTGTTGACCGGTTGACCTTGGCAATGTCTAATTACACAAAACACAAACTCGCGGATTTGTATTATTATTCGTAATTAAATCACTTAAAGAGTCGGTCATTCGTAATCATGAATGCACGTGTCGCACGTGTTGAATAGTGAAACTGCTGAAAAGAGCGTGACGCCTGTGTTTCGCACCGACTGGATCGTAACGGGCATCGTTAGCGACAAGCCTGACAAATTGTGCGACCTTGAATGTCACACATATCTATGACAAACTCCATAAACGGTTCAACACTAGAATTCTTAGCATCAGCCATTCGAATAACAAAAATAACCTTTGAATCTACATGAATCATTTAAACTTGATAAACCCAGAGTACCGTTTATCTCAAGTACGTACTATGCCATATCCAATCAAGTTCTTCCCTTAACCTAACCTCTTAAGATGAAATGCCCAATTTTCTTTCCACACGCACACCCTCGCTTTAATCCACTTCGGTTGCACATTCGCGGCATAGTCCTTTTCAAAGACTCTTGTCGACATTTGGCCGGCCATGAAGCCCGAGTCAGGGATTCAGTGTGTCCCTCCCCGCGTCGCTCTCTGACAAAGGTCATGCAGGTCACGGAGGCCACGCGGAACCTCGCGAGAAAGTCACGCCCCCCTCGCAGCAAAACTGCGACGTGTGGGCCATCGCTCAAAACGCATGGAATTTGTAGTTTCACAGTGCGCATTATAAAGATCACTTTTCTTTTTTAAACTTCCAATAAACAACTATGGTATATATTCTAATATATATTTTTTAAATACCATCATCAGCCCGAAAGCGAACAATAATAATACGAGTGGAATGTTGATGTGCTTCGCTTTGCTTAAGATTGCGGCGTTTGACTCCACAAATAGGCACGCGCTCTCACGTCCCGAACAGATCCTCTTTGTGTGGACCGGTTCTTCATATTCTGTAATTGTGGGCATCGCGTGCTCTGTGAAATGGAACTGAGATCCCATCGTACACACTTACGTCTATGCTCAATGCCTGGGTACTGGAGGACAGAGCTGTGTATCTTTTTTAAATCAAGGCCAAGAAAAAAGGTCAAAACCTTTCACAATAGGCTGAGGACAAGGCTGAGGCAGATTACACTAAGCCAAACACGAGGTCGAGGCCTCTTCTAAGAGAAGGGCAAAGCTGAGGCTTCATACGCTAGACCACCACGCCAAGGCCCGAGACCTGTTGCACTAGACCGTGAAGTCCAGGCCGAAGATCGCGGCACGAGGCTTAGGTTAGGAAAAGCCTCGTGACATGCGCGTGACGCTGACCTAGCAAGCAGCAGCCCAGTGGCAACGCGACTCCGCACTGCACACTGCTCACATCGTGGGGGAAAGGGGTGGATTACCTTTAGCATAGCCCTGGCATCAGACTTCCCTACCAGCCTAGGCTTTCCTCCCTGGGCATCCTAGCAGGCGGCCTTGGCCAAGGGCTTCCTCTGGGTGGACAAACATTGGCAACGTTTGAAGGGCAGTGGGGGGGGGAGGAAGGCCACCCGACCCAGTGATATGGTGAGCTTGGCACAAGGCCACCTCCAGTGAAGCTGGTGGTCGTACAAATTACAAGACCACGTGGTGTGATGCATGGTCACTGCCCTTGGTTTGCCCTTCGTGGTGGCGGGACCGCGCAGGGCAGGGCCACCTTGAGGATGGGTGGCCCCAAAAAGCGCTACAAGGACACCCTTAACAAAGCTTCCTTGAAGAGCTTTGGATTTGACCTGAAAAGCTGGGAATCCCTAGCACAGGACCGACCTGCCTGGAGAAGAAAAGTACAGGACGGTGCAGTCCTCTGTGAGAGTAGGAGCTCCTGTGCCATCTTGAAGAGGCAGCAGCGCAAATCTACCAAGGAAGGACGTGTGGCTGCACCTCAGAGCTCTACATCCTCCCTGACCTGTCCAGTGTGCCGCAGAGAATTCCGGGCTCGGATTGGCCTGTTCAGCCATCTGCGCACTCATCAAAACCCAACAAAATGACAAACGTGCCATGGTCATCATCAACTTTGATGGACGAACAAGAAGAAGAAGGCAGCGGTTCGAAGGAGGCTCAGCTAATCCCGGACAGCAGCAGGGGAGCTTTGTGAGTTTCAAGGGAATATGGTCTCTCTCCCATTGATTGGCAGAAACCGTTGGGAGATTGCAGTCGTGGACAGGTCGGAGAGCGGAGCTTAAACAGCAAACGGGGAATGAAGAGTTCGAAGAGATTTGAGCCCTCGAACTCAAGCGCGTGTCAAATTAACGGAGCGGAGTGGCCGGGGCTGAGGATAGAGTTACAAAGGGCCCCGCAAAAAGGGAGCCGCCCTCTCGTGCTTCCAAACCCAGGAGAACCGACCCCAGCACCTGCGAAGCCGGCGTCTCTCTCTCGGCCCAACACACCGTCCACGTCCGTGAGACGCGGCCGTCGCGACGCGCAGCGGAGAGACACCGGCACCGAGTGAGTCGTGCAAACCAGCATCGTGGAGCGGAGTCTCCGGGAGACGGCCGGCAGGCCGCGGGAGATCGCTGGTCCCGCGAGGTCCGTCGCACACGCGGCGAGTCCGGTGAGCGGTACTTTGTTGTAGTGAGCTTTGTGTGTCCACGATAAGCAATCGCGTGGTCTCTGCGGTCGTGCGTGAGTGGGCATTAGGCTCGGATGGGTAGATTGGGGGGGGGGACACATAGGATGCGCCGGGCATAGGCCAAGTGTCCGTGTAGAGTATGTACGTGTGCGTGTGGGACGTCTTTCGCACGGTACGCAGCCAACCGTGCTAATCGGAGGTGCGTGAGCGTCGGTGCTCAGCGTGACCTGAGCCACATACCTGGAGCGAGCGAGCAAGCGAGCGTGTGAGCGGCCGTGGCACGGCGTGCGCGGCTCAAGCTCTTTAATTGGTGCTGCCCCCCCCCCTCCCCAACCTGAGCTGCAGTGAAATCCCAGCAATGCCGGCACGTCAACCACGGCGGTGCCGGCGAGTGGCCAGGCGCAGGAGAGCCGTGGGCAAGGCGAGGTCCGCTCCCCGTCGCGAAGGCCCCGGCGGGCGTACTGGAGGAGCGCCGCTACCACACCGCCGCCGAATCCACTGCGGGGGGGCCCCTCCGAGCGTAAGGCCCGGCCCACGTTAAGAAACTTGGCCCAGAGTCTGACCCTCCTGTAAAGAGGTCTCGGGCCTAGGCGTTGAAAGGTCTCGTTTGTAGTAGCCCCCAGCGGGAAAATTGGAGCACACAGTGCATTCTGGTCCCGTCTGAGCTCTGGGCCCTGCTGGCAAAGACCCCTTGGCACCTTGTTGCATTGCCACTATCGGGGCCTCGGTGGCATTGCTAAGGGTGTCGGGGGGGGGGGGGCGCACAAGAGTGTGGGCCAAGGCTGGGGCTTGAGGGGGCGTAAATCATAATTATACAAAAACTATCAAACCAAAATAACGACGCATACACGAACGTGTAAATTTGTGTCGTGTGTAAAAGGAATGTTTTGAAGGCAGTGGGGTAAAAAGGGGGGAGGGGGCGAGGGGTTACTGAGCAAAAAAAACAAACTTTGGAATGTTCTTGAAAGTGGAAATTCGCGGATTAGCCCACGAGATGTAAACGGTAGCGGTAACGCTGGGCCGTATAACCATATCCTCATTATATGATTACACAGATTCGAGCAAAACATCCAAAAGCAATGCACCCGACCTGCACACCACCGGTGGTTGAGGTGCCTCGTGTTTGTGTGAGGCCACTGGGGAGAGGCCTGCAGAATCCGATGGCAGAGTTTTTGTCCGCGGTTTGGCGTTTGACCCCCCGGACGCACTGGGGCAGCAGCAGTAGCAGCAGCACCCACGTGGTGGCTGCTCGACGGTGGTGGTGGCAGCGGGTGGCGAGTGGGGGCAGCTGCTGCTGGTGGTGCTGCTGGGTACGGGTCGTGCTTCACTTGTTCTCGATGAGCGCCTGCACGCGGTGCACCAACTCGCGCGCCCCTGCCAGCAGCTGCCGGGCGTCGTGCCGTTCCGCCATCTCTGCGGGGGGGCCAAGACCCACGGGAGAATCTTACCGATTGCTTGCTCACACCGCGGCGAGCATCTTTCTCGCGTGCACATATGCACGTTGAACTTCTTTCGCACCGTACGTAGCCATGCCATGCTAATCGGAGGTGCGGGGGAAGGACAACGAACTAAACACGAAAAGCAGTCGTCAAGAAATTCGTTTTCAGTTTAGCGTTAAAAGTGCATAGCATTCTCTCTCAAGAGAGAGTCCTGCTCACAGGGTATTTTGTCCGACTTATTCAGACGTCTTGGAAGGCAGTAGGAGTGCCTACACTTGATCCCACCACATATCCGTACGTGTGTCCGCCTGAGCGCGTGTTCGTCCGTACATATGTCCATCCGTACGTGTTGTCCATCCGTACGTGTGTCCGTCCATTTCAGTATGTGTATCCGTCCGCCCGCGTTATCTGTCCGTATGTGTGTCCATCCATACGTGTGTCCGTCCGTCTGTCCGTATGTGTGTCCGTCCGTACGTGTCCGTCCGTACGCGTGTCCGTCTACGAGTCGAACCGTTGAAAAAGCGGATGATGTCCGTGAAGTCCATGTTGTTCTCGAGGATGATGTCCCGGTAGCGTGCCACCAGCGCCAGCGCCAGGAAGAGGACGAAGTGCTCGGAGGAGACGCGCCGGGCCGCCCAGATGGCTTCCCACACGGCGAAGACGTCGTCGTACACCAGCTCTGGGGGTCGTGAGAGGCGGGGGGGGACAGACGGGAGGGGTGGAAGCGCGCCAGAGCACGGACAAGGCAACGGGAGCACCGGCGGACGGTGATGACGGATCATCCACACGCGGGTCGCGTTGCCGCCCCCACGCTGCTGCTGCTGCTGCTGCTACCGCTGGATGTTCGCGGTTGTGTCGCACCGCTCCCCGATGTGTGTTCTGGTCGCAACGCGAGTTGTTCGGTGCCGTGTCCGACGTTTCGCTCCACGTGCTGGGAGCTTCTTCAGGGACTTGAACGTGCAGCTCGTGAGCTGCTCCCAGCAGCGGGGAGTAAAATGCTTTTATACGCGCTTCATTCTAAAGTAGTTTGTGCTGTATTTTGTTGTATGGTGTCCAATAACCTGTTTGTTTTTCTCCAATTATTTTTATTTTACATATACAATCGCTTTCACGGATCTGTTGATATGGATGTCTCTGGCGAGTCGGACATTAAACTAAAATCTAAACGATTAAACATTTTATATTTTATTTTACCAGCTAAGCCCCCTGAGCTATATAGAGGTATTTTTTCAGAAGCGACCTGGCTATGCTAACAATAGCTCAACAAAGTGGCTCATCGTGTGGAAATTTACAAATTTACAGCAGCCAGTGTTTGAGAGGGATCGGGGTAGTAGAAAGGGCACACGGTGGGGTGGGGGCAGCACCTCGCTTGAAGTCCAGCAGGAACCAGCGGTAGCAAAAGAAGAAGTGAGTGTAGTCTCCGTTGCGATGCATCAGCTCGAATATCTCCGAATCCAAAATCTGGCCGGGACCACAAAAGACAGCTCAATAAAACTGCGACGCAACGACGCTGTTTTGCTTTGCGTGCGAGCGCTCTTTTCGCGCAGGACATTCAGGGTAATGTGCAAATTATAAACTCGGACAATAAATAAAAACAAAACGTTGAGCAATCAAGCCAGCTCGAGGGTGAGCGGACGCCAAAAAAATACCGCTTCAAATGTGAATTCAAAGATTCGACTGTGCCCGCATTCCTCACGTGACTTGGGTCGCAGATACAGAGGCAGTTAGCCTCAACATCTAAAGCAACTGGCCCCCTTCCTGATTATAATTATTAAACGACTTCTGGGGACCACCAATTATTTCAGCATTCACCAATGTCAAGGTGCAGCTGGGAGCATACATGGCTTTAGTCATCACAACAGTGGCTCTGCGACCAGAGTGCTTAACTCACAATCACAAGGTTGCGAGTTCAAATCCTGGTCAGTCGTTGACTCCATCATGCCTGTATAGATATGGGTATATAATGATGATAATCGATTGCCCTCTTGTCACCCCACTGTGGATGAAGGTCTCCTCGTGCCGTGTCAGCCATGGAGGTTGTCTTGACCGCCCCACAAGTTCAACGTACATACATGTGTTTGTTCACGTTTGCGCGTGTGTGCATGTACGTAAGGGTGTGTGTGTGTGCGTGTGCTCTTATGTGCGTGGCAAGGGCCCCCGTGCCGAGGACTCTTGCCGGCCGTTACTGGCGCCGCACCTGGATGAGCGAGCGCATGTTGGCAAAGTGGTTGTCCATGGCTCCGCCCTGGGGGAAGTTTTGGATCATCCTCTTCATGAGCTGGCTGAAACAGCTGTAGGCCAGCACCTCTGCGGGGACACGGGGGGGGGGGGGGGGGTCGGCCGTCACGACGACACCGAGCAGAACTCGTAGACCGTTTCCACGACAACGGAGAAGCGAGCTCTAGTGGCCCAGCAACAGCAGCAGCAGCAGCGAGGCATGGAGACTGTGACTCCACGCTCCACGAGACATTCGGGGAATGGATGAGGTTTGGATAAGGATATGGCGAGGAGTGGATGAGGTGTGGACGAAGAGGGGATTCGGTGTGGATGCAGAGCGGATGAGGAATGGATGAGGTGTGGATGAGGTACAGGTTAGGTGTGGATGAGGAGCGATTGAGGTGCGGGTGAGGAGTGTTAGCCGCGACAGCTGCTCGTACCATCGTCCAGGATGACGAGGAGCGGCGCGAGGAGGTCACACATGCCCTGCACGTAGCCCACGTCCAGGTGCTCCCACACGTAGCTGCCACGAGCACACGCGTCACAACGAGCACCACGTGGGCGGACAACAACAACAACGGCAACAACAACAACAACAGCGGCAGCCACCATTAACGGCCTGCCCAGTCGTTACGTGATACACACCTGGTAGCTGTATTTCTGGGATGGCACTACAATAACAATAATAAAAAAAAACAATAATGTCAGCTTGGAACGACTGGACCGGGATATGGAGTCAAACCTGCACATTATCCTGCGGAGCCGCTCCAGGTTCCCGGCAGTGAAGAACCAGAAGTTGCGGTCACACCGGTGAACGTCCTTGTCGATGCGATGGAAGTTCATCGCGTACATGTCCAGCTCTTCTTGCTGCGGAAGCAGACATGACCAACTAAGTCAGGGGTCAGATGAAAGCTGGATTCTCATGCGCAGCGAGTTCATGGTCTCAGCCCGATTACCAATGATTGTTTACCAAACCACGCGTCACATTCATTTGGTCTTTTCTCTCACACGGGTTAAATTCCTGCTTTGAGAATTTTGGAAATATCAGCATCACTACGACGCAACTAATTCAGTAGTTTTTCTGCGTGGAAAATGCGCCCCCTTGGTATGCGGATTCAAAAAAACGTCGCCGAATATTTCCGTAAAAGCAGTTCTGCGACGTCTGCTTCTGTGGGCTGTCTTCGGGCGCAAGGGGCGATGCGCGGCCCTGCGAAGCGTTGAGAATCGGCGCGGCTCTCGCCTCGTGCCGTGATGCCGATGGAACAATTACGATACAACAGAGGGGGGAACTGACCTTGCTCGCAATAAGCTTCACCCATCTCCTCTCTGGTTGTGAGTCATTGCCTCTCTGGCACCACGTTTACAACGCTGTCATCACCACTCGCCTTCCCAACCCTCCATTTTCTTAAAAAACAAAGAGTGAGTTTTTGTCTTTCTACACAACCCATTCCAATTATACTTTGGCATCATTGGCCAAGCTGAGGAATCAGTAGGGACATCTCAAAAATTCAGTATGCCTCGTACTCCAGAGAATGGCTGCAGCAGATATTTTTTGTGGGACATCACCAGGAAAAATCCTTCAATGGCCGTTTCTTTCAATCCTTTGCACAGTTGGTGTCATACTTTCCCACACACACACTCTGATGTAACATTTTTTTGTCTCGTGACGGTGAAAGCGACATTTGTAATTCTCAGAGCTGGTATTAAGCCAAATTAAGTACAAAGCCAAACATTATGGGATGGGGTTTGTCTGCAGTTATTATTGTCTCATAAGTCAATCTACTGAAGAACCTGATTTTATAACAGGTGGCAGCCTAGGTTTGAACCCAGGCCACTAGCAGTACTGGCTCAGTGCTCTGACCTCTGACCTGTGAGCCACACAGTCGACCTTTGCTGTCCACACTTTTATTCGCCACATGAATCCTTAGAAATAATAACATTTAATGAATATTTTTTTTTTATTACAACGCTTGCTTGGATGCACGTACAGCCAGAAATGTGTCCCCCACTTTTTTTTTCCACGAGCACATGCGAGCCGCGCCAGCGTGGGGTCGGGGGAACCCTCGCAGCATGGGTGAATTTCAACTATATGCAGAGCAGAGTCGGAATTAAATCGTGAAACTCTGGCCTCACAAAATGTATCTGAATCCATGCCAAGTAGGGGACGGGCGGGGGGGGTGTTCATAATTTTCATCACAAGTTGCATCACAGAGTAGCACACTGCATGCATCTCGACCCGTCTCGTTGCACGTGACCATCGGTGGCACGGCTCGGGTTCTGCAGTGGAAAAACAACCTGACCCCTACTGAGCCGTGCTGGGCTGGCTCAGCACGTTCTGGTTGTACGGTGGAAAAGATGTCCCGGCGAGGCCTTCGTGGACAAACGCACGCGACACAGCGAGAGAGTGGAGGCCGGACGAACCGTGTAATCTCCAACCGCGCTGTAGGGCTCTGGCTGAGAAGGCGGCGACCCCAAGGCAGGGCTCGGCACTGCCTCGCCATCGCCGTGGCAACCGGCTTCGTCCGCGCCCCCCAGCATGCCTTGCTCCTCGGGCTCCCACGGGCTGCCCTCCCCCTCCGCGTGGCTGCCCGTGCCATGCGTATCGGTCGAGTCTTGCGTCTCCAGACCGGGCTGGGGGTCCTCGCCGGGTGCGTAAGGGAGCTGCAGGTCCGGCAGGCACTTCTGCAGCGCTGTGGACGCCTCGGGGCCTGCGTGGGTCTCCACTTCGTCTACCGACTCAAACACCTGCCCAGACGTCGGGCAGAGTCAATTATTCCCATAATAAAGGTTTTTTGGTGAGATCACGGAAGTATAAATGTGTCATAGCCCTCCACCACCCGAGACAGACAATAAAATCCCCTCCCCTCCACCTCTGACCTCTACACCTGATGGGCTCACAGTGATGGCGTCATCTTGCTCTATTAAGACCGGAAGCAGGTGGATGGCTTCACTATTCTGGCAAATCGCCTGATGATGCTGGATGTAATTACCAGCGAAACGTCATGGAACTCAAATTGTTAATGTTGTGGATTTACTCTACCAACACACCGGTGGGCTGAAGTAGTAACTAATTGGCGCGTTGTTCACGTGACAAACCTTACTGGCTGTGTCGGGTGGTGGAGGGTTACGACACATTTATATTTACGCGGTCCAACCCAAACACCTTTAATATTGAATAATATTGGTTGCGAAAGCCTACGTGTCAAACTCAATTGTTCCCAGCCAACATTTACCAACTCATGGCACTCGTGTTTTGTCGTGTTTTTACAAATTATTCCACCCTTTTATTTGATACAATTTGTACTTTGTCATTTGGGCAAAGCATGTTTTTCTCACTGTTAACCGCCCACTGAGAGCAAAGCAATTAATCCTGGCGATAGAGAGGTCCGAAATGAGACACCGCAATTCTGTCACTGAGCTAATGTGCAGGAGGCAATATGCGTGTCCTATCCTGCCTCTGATACTATTATTGCTGCAATCTCTGCCCTGAATCAAGTACACGTATCATTCGTCACTGTGCTGATATAATATTCCATAGACATGACAACTCTTGTTTCCACCTGGGCAAAAAATAATGGTGAGTGGTGTGGGGTCATAAGTATTCAACGTTTGCCTTTTGTTTGTTTTTTTGCTTCGTATTGAAACTGGTTTGCTGTATAGCGTGGTTATTGAAAACGAGACGTCTGGTCTCAGCGGGGAGTCTTATCTGTTGTTGATGAAGGTTAACCGTCTATCCGGTACCCGGACATATGCAGCATTGGCCTCCACAGCCACATGCAATTGGTTTGATTGTTACGTAACCTCTTAAATTTGGTTCAAGAAAAATATTTTAAAAAAAGTGGCTGTCAACATGGAGCTAGGTGGACTGTCAATGATAATGCTCTATTAACATTCAGCATTTGAACAATAGTACGGGTAATACTAACTAATTTGAATAACAATGGTCCCGTCAATTTATCCAGGGGAAAGCTCACTGAGACACTCATTATCTCTTTTGCAAGGGGCACCTGGTGATGAGGTGGAATTTTTTTACAACTTCACTGTGGGATACAGATAGAACAAGTCTGCATTTGCTCCGAGTCCCCGAAGACCAATGAACTCTGCCGTTGGGTCGTATTCCTTGACGTGCTCCTGCAAACGTTATTGGGCATCGGTAGGATTTCAACCCATGGACACTAACTCTGGGACAAGAGCTAACAACTGGACATCCAACTGGCATTAATCAAATAAATGAGTCCGCTCTCCAATCTGGAATCGTAATGGCTTACTGAGACTCCTCGGAGGGCACTTAACTCAAAGTGGTTTCCCCACATCAATTAACCCCGGGTAATTGTTCCACAGCAATTAACTCACAAAATTATCAGCAAGCTAATTAACCTGCAGCAATTCCATGCGTTCGACACTTTGTTGAGAAGTAATGGCCCACCATTATAAGCCAAGTTCAAACGAAATCTGTCTGTGGTTTTTGGCTGCTGCCTTTCTCGCTTTAGCGATGCCTGTGTGTGTGTCGATGCCACAGGCAACTCGCGAGCAACACATCGTATCTACGATTCCAAATTAAAAAATAAACATTACGGATCGAATTAATTCAACGTTGTGTGTTTTTTTTATATATAGAATCACGCGTGATGCAGCGAGAGTCATTTCCTCTTCGTGCATGCCAGACAAATAACTATGTTTCTTTACAAAACAGAGGATATTGTATTTTAATTAAAAATATTATAGGAGTAAGATGTGTTATATATTGGTCCAATTTTAAAAGCCTGCTATGACACCGACATGGCTCGGCCTTATCTTGTGAACGATGTCAACAAAGATTTTACGGTTCACTTTTGAGCAAATCGCACATTTTGGTAATTCCCCACGTAATTTAGCAGGCGGCTATGGCGATCTAACTGTGAGACGTAGCTGCGTGGCCAGCACATTCACCGCACCACGCTATACAGCAATCCAAACCTCGAATTCAAGCAATAGAATAGAATTGGCTCATGAACGTGGCATTCTGTTTCACGTCGCGCGGCTCTCAAGCTCACGCGTTCACGTGAGATAATTGCCGCTGTTGTCACGCGCGTTTTTATTCAGGTGTTTGCGACGCCTGTCCTGAACGTAACCCACTCGCTATTGGTGATGGCAGAATGTGCCGATCAGCGCAGGCATTGCTACGAAACACATTGAGATTTCACCAAATTTCAAACACGCCTCTCATAAGCGTTCCTAACAAAATAATAAAAATAAAACATAATAAAACAATTCTCACGACGTTTCGGCCACAACGCAAGCAGCCGTCCTCAGGTGAAAACCAGGTCCGTCGAGGCGACAGAGTCTGAATGAAACAGCACACGAGCTTGGAGCATATATATAAGCTGGGCGCATTGACAAAGGAATTTGCATATCAAAAGGAATTTAGCATATTTATGGGAAATGCAGGAATGTGATTAGTACTGCATATGCATGTGCATTATGCAGGATTAACAGCATCAAAGGGAGCTGCAGTTACTGCTGCTGCTGCAGTTTCTGCTGCTGCTGCAGTTTCTGCTGCTGCTGCAGTTTCTGCTGCTGCTGCTGCAGTTGCTGCTGCTGCTGCAGTTGCTGCTGCTGCTGCAGTTGCTGCTGCTGCTGCAGTTTGATGCTGCTGCACTTGCTGCTGCTGCTGCAGTTGCTGCCTTATCCATTTTAATATAACACTATGTATTATTCTACCCACCCTAATGTGTATCACACTGCTATATGTTTACTATACAATTACGACACCATACATTACTCTGCACACTGCACCATGCCAGTGAGTGGAACGCGGTCTGAAAGTCACCGTAAACGTGAACACAATCAGTTAAGATCCGAAATGGTTTATTACGTCCTTCCAATGATTGCTAAGCCAGAATCCATCTTCTCGGTTGAAATTGTCTCTGTGTTTGTATATGTGGATCGCCTCATGAACAAATCTCTCATGATAGCCAGATGGCTTGCAGAGAACCTCTGTCTTGGAGAAGTCAATGTCATGTGAGCCCACTGAATTGTAACAGTGATCTGCCACGGCTGAGGTGTTTGTCCTACCGTGTTTCAGGTCTGCCTTATGTTCACGGATGCGGTCCGAGACATGTCGTTTGGTTTCTCCAATGTAACTGCTACCACAGAGGCAACTTAGTTTGTAGACGCCAGGTACTGTATGTCTGGAACCACATCTTTTACAGACGGGACCAGATCACGGATTTTATGTACTGTGTTGAATCGGACCTGGATCTTGTGTTTAATCAGGATTTTGGAGATCTTTTTTGTGACCCCAGCAATGTAGGGTAAGGTGATGGTCTTGAAAGGCTCCTCAACAGGATCCTTCTTGATGGTTGGAGTGATGGCTTTGCGGATTGTGTAGTCGGAGTAACCATTAGCCTTAAGAGCTTGGCGTACGTGTTTGAGTTCACTGGAAATGTGTTCATGGTCGGAGATGCATTGGGCTCTATGATATAGAGTCTTGATGAGGGAATTCTTCTGGGATGGATGGTGGTGGGAATCCGGTTTTAGATAAGCATCCGTGTGGGTGGCTTTCCCGTAGACAGAGTGGCTCATTGAACCATCAGGTCTCCTTTTGATTAGGACATCCAAAAAGGGTAGCTTGCCATCATTTTCGACTTCCATGGTGAATCTGATTCACCATGGAAGTCGAAAATGATGGCAAGCTACCTGATGGTTCAATGAGCCACTCTGTCTACAGGAAAGCCACCCACACGGATGCTTATCTAAAACCGGATTCCCACCACCATCCATCCCAGAAGAATTCCCTCATCAAGACTCTATATCATAGAGCCCAATGCATCTCCGACCATGAACACATTTCCAGTGAACTCAAACACGTACGCCAAGCTCTTAAGGCTAATGGTTACTCCGACTACACAATCCGCAAAGCCATCACTCCAACCATCAAGAAGGATCCTGTTGAGGAGCCTTTCAAGACCATCACCTTACCCTACATTGCTGGGGTCACAAAAAAGATCTCCAAAATCCTGATTAAACACAAGATCCAGGTCCGATTCAACACAGTACATAAAATCCGTGATCTGGTCCCGTCTGTAAAAGATGTGGTTCCAGACATACAGTACCCTGGCGTCTACAAACTAAGTTGCCTCTGTGGTAGCAGTTACATTGGAGAAACCAAACGACATGTCTCGGACCGCATCCATGAACATAAGGCAGACCTGAAACACGGTAGGACAAACACCTCAGCCGTGGCAGATCACTGTTACAATTCAGTGGGCTCACATGACATTGACTTCTCCAAGACAGAGGTTCTCTGCAAGCCATCTGGCTATCATGAGAGATTTGTTCATGAGGCGATCCACATATACAAACACAGAGACAATTTCAACCGAGAAGATGGATTCTGGCTTAGCAATCATTGGAAGGACGTAATAAACCATTTCGGATCTTAACTGATTGTGTTCACGTTTACGGTGACTTTCAGACCGCGTTCCACTCACTGGCATGGTGCAGTGTGCAGAGTAATGTATGGTGTCGTAATTGTATAGTAAACATATAGCAGTGTGATACACATTAGGGTGGGTAGAATAATACATAGTGTTATATTAAAATGGATAAGGCAGCAACTGCAGCAGCAGCAGCAAGTGCAGCAGCAGCAAACTGCAGCAGCAACAGCAACTGCAGCAGCAGCAGCAACTGCAGCAGCAGCAGCAACTGCAGCAGCAGCAGCAGAAACTGCAGCAGCAGCAGAAACTGCAGCAGCAGCAGAAACTGCAGCAGCAGCAGTAACTGCAGCTCCCTTTGATGTTGTTAATCCTGCATAATGCACATGCATATGCAGTACTAATCACATTCCTGCATTTCCCATAAATATGCTAAATTCCTTTTGATATGCAAATTCCTTTGTCAATGCGCCCAGCTTATATATATGCTCCAAGCTCGTGTGCTGTTTCATTCAGACTCTGTCGCCTCGACGGACCTGGTTTTCACCTGAGGACGGCTGCTTGCGTTGTGGCCGAAACGTCGTGAGAATTGTTTTATTATGTTTTATTTTTATTATTTTATTACTTCCCTTCTACGTGACTTTACCGAAAGAACCAAGAAGATGAATCCCTGCAGTCACGAAAGCTTTAAATCGAAATTTACGTTCCTAACAAGTTGATTCCTGTCCTCTGATAGACTCTATGGTTATCCTTCCATTACGACGTAGCACAAATAAAGTATGATTTTCTATACCGCCAGTCAATGCGACGTCACTTGCCCATCACCAAACCCGAGCTACCGCGTTGAACTTGGCACAAATTAGAATAAAGCTCAGCACGTAGATCAGCACACGAAGTACAAAATGTGCCGCTGACGTTTCCACGAAATGGCCCTTCTTTTAGAACTTCAGCGCTGCTACGGGGAAGATTTTTAAAAGGTTCACCCTTCCGCTAGAATCGTGCCTGACGCGTTGTGTAAAAAATGAAAGTGCGAATTATGATTATCTTAAGTGTAAACCAGAACGGGGATGAGGTCTGGCACATGCGAGTGCACCCATCGTGGCACTGCGCGTGGGGAGACAATCACGTTGAGGCCTTCGTGACGACGGCCACGTGTTCGACGGCCATTTTTATTTGCACATCGCCACGGTCACTCTGGTGAGCAGACGAAGAAAAGACGGGACCGGACAAGCGACGCCTCAAAACACGATGCCGTTAGCGTGACAACACGGAAGCGCCGAGAGGGTTGTCGATCAAGGTGTTAAGAGGAGAAAACAAGTACCCGTGCACGTACAGATTGCACCATGTAACACGATTTTTTGTCCCTGGGTTGTAAGTGTTGTTTTTATAATTGCTTATGCCTTAAAAGTATTAGAAAATGGCTATTATGCCCCGTAAACTTTGCTTTTGTGACCAGGACTTTACGTGAAGCAATGACACAAATGCACACCACGTTTTCTCATTGAAAATATAAAAAATTCGAAATATCACTGTCCTGGTCACAAAAGCAAAGTTTGTGGGGGATAATAGCCATTTTCTGTACTTTTGAGGCATAAGCTATTAGGAAATAACACTTAGTACCCAGGGACAAGTTAAGTTTGTATTGTTACACAGTGAATTGCCAGCAGGTGGTGTACATCGCTGTGGCCTCTTGTTCGTGGTGTTTGTCAGAATGGGCAGCACGGATGGGTGGTACGAGCACAGCACATCACGAGAGGGAACACCAGGGCCTGTTCCTTTCAAAGTGCACGATTGTTGCTCAGCGAAGCGCCGCTGTGAAAGTTACACCCACTGGAAATCTGACCGCTTGACAGCAGGCGCCGTCTGTCATCAACTAGGGTTGTAGTTTTGAGCTTTAGAATTGAGGCGATGAGACCCAGCAGATGGTTGAGTTGTCGCCTGTTGATTTGCCTGTTGATGTGAATAATACACAATCTAGAATTGAAGCTTTCGTGACTGCAGGAATTACTATACTCATTGGTTCTTTCGGTAAAATCACGTATCACAAATAGTGATTTATTTTCATTTTATTTTATTTGTGATTTATTTTATTTCTACATACGTGACTTTACCGAAAGAACCAATGAGTAATATAATAAACAACCTTGGCCGCCCCTCATCATTCTTTGAGAGTCTAGTTCGCTGCAAGGTGATACCCTTGTTTTAATATGCTACGTGCAATTTTTTTTATTACTTGCAAAATTATCCTGAGCAGAGCCGCAATGCAACATCGCCCCCTCTTTCCACCCCTGCTGTGAAACTCCTGCGAAAAGCTCCTCGTCTGTAAAGCAGAGGCGCCTTCATGATAGCCTTGCGGATCGAGAACGGCGTCAATATACCGAATTAATTAACGTTTCGTGGGGGGTGAACAAACACAAACTCGCAAGTTTCCCCGTTTCCTACCGTCGAACTATGGAGGCCAATTGCATCGTCGATCTGGCCACGCTGCGAACGCCGAGCCACCACATTCGCTCGCAAGCCCGAACGCCGATAAGCGTCCGGCACGCCGAGCGGTGACCGGTTCCTCCTAGAGACGGCTGCCACCCGCAACCCGGAGCCGTCGAGCTGCTGAGACGCGGCGCTCTTGCGCACGAGCAGGAACCGTGGGGGAGCGGGGCGGGCAGGCGGGGGGGGGGGGGGTGTTTGAAAGGAACCAGGGGAGGCCCACGGCATAAGAGGACGAGACGTCGCATGCGGTGACACGGCACGGCAGGCCACGCTGCATTACCTGGGTGCTCACACTGCAGCCAGTAGGCAGGCACGGGTGCACGCTCGACTACAAACACGGGCGACACGCACACAGAGCATGCCTTTTGGTCTCATTCCTCCCCCTCCATTGCACCCACTCTGCTGAGAGGGCTTCGTGCAGGAGAGAGCGCGATTCGCGTGTCGGCAGAGGTCCGTTTATGTCTGGCGGAGCGGCGCTCTCGTCAGCGCTTCGTTCCACGCCGTTACCCGCTAAGGCGGGAGAGACGTCTGCCGGGACTCTAAACGGTCCCCGCCGCCAACAACACGTGAACGCAAGACGGTCGCCGGTGTTGAAACAAAGGGGGGCTCTCAGAATTAGGGTCACCACACGAAAGAAAAATCAGTAACTTCTCTCTGTTGTTTTTATAGGGCACTAACGCTTCGGGAGAGGAAGACAACACCGGGTGGAGAGATGCAGCGGTAAAAGGTTCGAGACGAAAAATGGTTTAGACTGAATGAGGACAATGACGCTGGCTCTATACTCTTGGGTTTTTTCGGTAAAGTCACGTAGGTAAAAAAAAAAAACGCTGGCTCTAGGAGGAGAATCAAGGTGGGTTTCGTTCGGCCCAATCATTGCTCTTGAGCTGACATAAGGGACAGATGATGATGACTCTTGAGAGGCTGCTGATGAGACAATTTAATTTATGCAAAATTTTATTTTACTTCGTGGACTTTTAGGTAGAATAAATGTTTATCTTGAAATGATTTCTGAAATATTGTCAGGGGAATAATCGATGGGAAAATCTACTTGAGGATTAGACTTTTGCAGATGCTGACTCTAGCTTTGTACTATCAGAAATTATACGTAGGCCATTTTTTAAACCCAGGTTTTTAAACGTTGCAATCTTGAAACTTAGTCCCGAGTATTGTCATTGTTAACAGATGCTTGAGCTGAAAGTGGTTAGTGTTGTGATGTACGTGTAGAAACCAATTCCTCCGTGCTGAGCTTCAAACTTCCCTCGGTACACAAGCTGCTATAGACACGTGTTCAGGTTGTCCCACTAGATAATATCCATACGGGGCCATCAATTTAGTACGTACGCATAGAGGGGGTGGGGGGGGGGGGTTAACCCAAACGCGTACGCTTGCGTATGGGAGGTCTACTGACAATGTTTGTATAGGAAACGGGGGTGGGGGGGGGTGAAGCCTCGACAATAATCTGTATACATTGGCCTTCAACTGAGCTTGATAGTCCGGTGGTGGACGATCTGTTTGCTTAAACACGTTAATATGATTCATCCTTGATCGTTTCTGCGTGGATTAAATATCGGCCGTTCTATAGTATTCGGGGGGGTCAGGCGTACGTACGCATGTGGGGGGGGGGGGGGGGGGGGAGTAAAAAGTCCGCGTGCGTACAGGGAGGGGGGGAGGGGTCAAGTTTTGACAGATGTTTGCGTACCTACTCAATGGATTGTCTGTTCGAAACTTTTGCACAAAGGCTCTGCATCAACCGGTGTTAAAACAGGGACCTTTCAAAGGTGACCTCACGGAGCAACCTGTGAGACCCCTTCAACGTGCTCCTAGCCAAACGAGGGATTGCTGAACGTCATCACACGGCCAGCTATTAAGACAGTCATCATGACAAAGTCAAAACAACATTTGAAATTTCAAGAGCTGGAATTTGCCCAACGAACTACAAATCAGAATATTGATTTGCCGAAACACCCGAGTGAAGCGAATAATCTTCTTGGTTCTTTCGGTAAAGTCACGTAGAAGGGAAATAATCAAATAATAAAAAGAAAACATAATAAAAGAATGTTTCATTAATTTGTATTTTTATTATTTTATTATTTCCCTTCTACGTGACTTTACCGAAAGGACCAAGAAGACGAATCCCTGCAGTCACGAAAGCTTTAAATCGAAATTTGAAGCGAATAACTCAACTTTCGCAATCGCTGGTGGCCAGGCTGACACCATCAACAGATTCCACTGGAGAAACCCGATTCGAATCGTTGACAAATGTCATCGAGTTTTTTGTTGTCGTCGTTGGGGCTTTTATCAAATGCGGCCGGAAGCCCCAGGGTTTTGAACCCAGGATCGCCTCGGTGCGCTCTGAACCCCGAGCCACCCAGCACCACTCGACTCGACCTGAACCGCATCGGACGACCAGGGTGCACCGCGTCTATTTGTCGTCGGGTGACGGCGACGGCGGTAGGCGGGCGTTTACTCAAGGCCGCGGCACCGAACACGGGGGGGGGAGATGGAGCAGGAAAATCACTCGCAGGGTTGACCGGCATTCGTGCGTAGCTGCAGGGAAGGTCCATGCAACAGAGTCTGCGTGCAGAGTCGGCGGCAAAAAGATGACGGTCGCAATTGACCGCTTTCTTTCATCGCGACTCGTAACCGACATTCTAACAAGACAAGCAGTCTCCGGTCAGAAGTTCATGAAAGCACAGCCGTAGCGTATTATCACTTTCATCAGAACAAGCAATGTGGTTATACAGTACGTTATACTATTATGCATTTCTATCACATATTATTTAAATGAACCTATACTTCTCCAGATACATTGGCAGCACTTGCGGGTATAATACAGCGCCGCTTGTTCGCTAAGGATAGATCTTGTTTCACGTGACCAGACTAAAATTTGTTATCTGAACCATTTCCACGTAAAACACGAGGTAGGCATAGAGCTGGGTGGGTATGATGGATGTAGGTCACTAGGTAGGCATGCAGGTAGGCAGGCAAGCAGGTAGGTAGGTAGGCTGCATGCAGATGAATAAATAGGTAGCCTGGAATGTTTTCCCTCTATTCATAACCAGGTGAGACATTGAAAGGACAAATAGAATTTGCAAGACAGACCTCGCATGTTAAAAGCGAGAATGATAACAATTTTACCGCCGTTGAAAATGCGTGGCTTATTTGCACTCATTAGGTCAGCTTAAACATTTCATAAACGTACTGCAATGAAGTCCACAGCACAACCACGGCAACCGTGCCATGGTTTGTCGACAGACAATCTGTGCTTGAGAGTAAACAATGACTTGGCGAAACGTGAACATGCATGTTTTTCGATTTAAAGCTTTCGTGACTGCAGGGATTCATCTTTTTGGTTCTTTCGGTAAAGTCACGTAGAATGGAAATAATAAAATATTAAAAATAAAACATAATAAAATAATTCTCACGACGTTTCGGCAACAACGCAAGCAGCCGTCCTCAGGTGGAGAACAGGTCTGTCGAGAAGACAGAGCTGTACCTGGGCCGAAACGTCGTGATAATTATTTTATTATTTTATTATTTCCATTCTACGTGACTTTACCGAAAGAACCAAGAAGATGCATGTTTTTGTTGTTGCACCATTACAACGTGGGCCGTACGGGTTTTTTTTTGCCGTCGTATTTGAACGCGGGCTCGTGTCTTGCATCCGCCTGCTTCGGTGCGTTACAATTTGCACGGCACGGTGCAGCGGACTGGACGAAGAAGCGTCTCGTGAGAAAGACACTCGGGCAAGCTGCACGGGGGCCAATTGGTGCACACGCGCCCCGCTCTACTTTGCTGGGCGCGATCTGACGAGACGTGGGCTCATCCTCCTAGGAGGGAACCTCCCCGGGAGAGGAGCGGGCTCCTCTTTCTCCGACACGTCTGCAAACAGGTCGGACCGATGCCTGGTCGCGCCGGCACCTGCGCCAAAATCACAGCGCTCGCAACGCGAAGCGGAACCTAGCACAGGAGCGGCGAGGATTGACCTCTCTAGGCGAGTGGCCCTTACGAGGGTTCGAGAGGCCCCACATCTACTGACGTGAGCTGTCGGGAGAGCACAGTGGGCGCTCCGACGGTTCGCGTGACACACGCTTAGGGCAAGTGTACAGCCTCGTCGCCTCCTGCCTTTGGCGTCCACATGGCTCACCTCGCTGCCAGCAGCTGTCTCCTTTCTTTTTAAAACTCCTCTTTAACATTCTGTATTTACGCACACTGGGATGAAGAAATAGCTACGCACGTGGCGAGATAAAGAACTGTATCATGTGACCCTCTCAGAGGGAGCAGCGTACCACCGTGTGTTCGAAAATGATGTAATAGAACTACTTCTAATCTCATTTCAATGGACACTTTTCGACACTAGGTGGCGCGCAATGTTGAACTAGCAGAGCTGAAATAAGTATATTTACGTGCAGTCATCACAGCACGGGATGATGCCATGAACTCACTACACTTGAGAACCCGGTTAAGCCCCCAGCAGATGAACTCAAAACCCAAAACCCCGACCGCCGCCGTGGTGCCAAGCTCGGTGCCCCCGACGCGTCACCCACGAGCCTGCGAGCCGACGCGTCCCCCCCCCCCCCGCCGCCTCCTCACCTCGCTGCTGACGCTCGAGCCGAACGCGCCGAAGCGGAGGAGCCGCGCCTCCAGGCTCCCCGCCGAGCTCGAGAGGCGGCCGAGCGCCGCCAGCGAGGACGCGGCGCGACTCCTCGCCGTCACTCCCTGCACCGCTACGCCGGCAACGGCGCCGACGCCGGCAATGACGCCGGTGCCGGCAACGCCGCCCGGGCTGCCGACGGAACCCGCGGCGCGCGTGCCGGCGGCGGCGTGCCTCCCGTGTCCGCCCAGCGCCTCCCGCTCGCGCTCGCGCGCCTGCACGGCCGCCTGGCACGCGCGCCACGCGGCGCTCGTGTCCTCGAAGCGCGCGCGCGTGTCCTCGTCCACCTGCACCGGGGGGGGCGGGGGGACACACGACACGGAGGAGACAGGGAGCGGTGCTTGTACGGAACAGAGCGTCGTTGAGGCGTCGGCCAAGGGTGGGCAGAGGGTGGTGGGAATGGCGAGAGGGTGGGGGAGAGGGTAAGGGGTGGGAGAGGTGGGTGAGTGAGTGGTGAGCGGGTGGTGAGAGGGTAAGGGTGGGGGAGAGGGTAAGGGGCGGGAGAGGTGGGTGAGTGAGTGGTGAGTGGGTGGTGAGAGGGTAAGGGTGGGGGAGAGGGTAAGGGGCGGGAGAGGTGGGTGAGTGAGTGGTGAGCGGGTGGTGACATGTTGGCGAGAGGGTGGTGGTGGTGGTGGCGAGGGAGACAGGGCACCCAGGTGCAGGCTCGTCGTCGCCCTTCACCACTCTAACACGAGGCCTCAGGCTTACCGCTCTCGCACCAAGGTCAACATCTCCGGATCATTGCCTCGGCAATCTGACAGCACGATGCTCTCGCACGGAATCGCTGCCGGGCTGGTGCGGTGGGCGCTACAGCTGTGACCCAGCCTTTTTGGAAGCAAGGGTTGGTGAGTCACGAAGAGATTTGTGAAACATCAAACCTCGCTGGGCCGTAAGATGGCCTGAAGATGGTAGCTCTGTGGGTAGGTTGACGATCACTCCCATTGAACAAAAAAATTATCCAACGATAAATTTTACGCGTGTGAAATAAGAGGTGATGAATTCGTGAAACTGGGGCGGGTTTCTGTGGACAAAGCTCCACCACACAGAGAGAGAGAGAGGCCCCGCCGGGATCGATCTCGGTCGATCTAAGCGGGGCCCGAGCCTCACCTGCTGCTTCTCGCTTGCCGTCATGCCCAGCTGGTAGTGGCCAAGAAGGTATGGCCACACGTGGTGCCGGACGGAGGGATCCACTCCGCCGTAGTACACCAGCCTCACCATCTCCGTCTCGCTCACCTCCTGAGCGAATCGCGTTCGCACGACAGCGGTTGTTACAAGAGAGAGAGACGCTCGTGCCGCGGCGCCATAGGAACATGGAATTTCCACCGCTGCTTGAAGAAAAGCGGAGAACGGGGAGCTCGACTCTGCTGTACAACTTGATAAGACTATTTATTTAGACTGGAGGAGGAATCCGATGAGCTATGAAGCTCTATTTCACAGGTGTCCAGTAGGAGTGGGTCAGAAGGTTAAACAAATTGATCGACTTAAATTGATGCAAAGCCTCGTCTGGTGATTTTGACGTTGCAAAGACTTTTAAGATCACAATTTAGCTTACATCCTCTTCATTCTTTCGGTAAAGTCACGTAGAAGGGAAGTAATAAAATAATAAAAATAAAACTTCCCTTCTACGTGACTTTACCGAAAGAACCAAGAAGATGAATCCCTGCAGTCACGAAAGCTTGAAATCGAAATTTAATTTAGCTTACTTTCTCAACGTGCAGTTCGTGGTGCAGTTGGTGGGTGCGGTTGTGGGTGCGTTTGGCGGTGCGGGTGGCATTGTGGTTGATGGTGTGCCGTTGGTGCTGCAGTTTATACCTCCGTGCCGGCCTCCATGGCAGCCCAGAGCTGCTGGGTGAGGCCGCCGCTGGCGTCGCATGGCCGATCCGCCGGCACGATGTCGGTGTTCACGAGCGCGGACAGGTGCGTGCGCACCGTGCTCAGATGTCTGCAGTAGGCGAGCCCTGGCAAACCGCAACACGCACGGCGGCACACAACTCCCGTGTAGGCGATCGACCGCTGGCGCAAGTACTGACAGCGAGCACCTACGAAGGCCGGCACGGCGCACAAAGGGGTCGTGTGGCCAGAGCCACACAACCGGCCGCGCCCGCGATTTTCCCGCACCTCCGATCGGCACGTACGGTGCGAAAGAAGTTACATGCATGCCAAACCGCAGATTTTTACACCAGGCACTCGTTTAATTGCAGGATGCCCAGGACAAGTTCTGATCACACTTCCCACTGACGTTGGCTTCCGAGCCACTGTTTCCCACACCCACAGGCGTACGTGCTCGCACGTATTGCTTCGCTTTGACTGAAACCCAGATTCGAACCCAGGAGTTTGGCGGCGAGGGGTCAGCGCTCCGAGTGCGAATCGCCGACCTGAGTCACTCGTCCACCTCGTACTCCCCTCACCATTTGTTTCCAAATTTTTTTTTCTTTCAAATTGCGCTCTCGGCATCGCTATTTCATGATACGACGTGTCATCATGGAACGACTTCTGAATTCATCTCGATAGAATATTACCCACGCTAAGGACACACCTTTTTACGTGCCCTCCAATAAGCCAAAATTTAGTACCAAAACACGTAGAATGTTTTTCTTCGTCGAGTCATAAGTGAGCCGGGACGGGATCAAGAGCTCGCTAAACTTGATAACTCGATTCAATGACGTGCAGCTGCAACTCGATCTCAAGATCTCAGTTGGGTTGGCTTGGTGCGTTGATCCATGAGCCACCCGGCCACACGCTCACGCGCGCGTACGTGTGTGTGTGTGTCTCTCACTCTGGGTGAGACACACACACACACGCTCGCGTGCGCGTGTGTGTGTGTGTCTCTCTCTCTCTCTCTCGGTGCCTCCCGGCTCAAATGAGGGGAGGAGTGGTGTAGAAGTGGTTAGCACACTGTGTCGCAAACCCGGCGACCCGGGTTCGATTCCCGCTCACGGCCAAACACCAGTGACGATTATCTGAACCGATGTTGGGGCCTCCCCTAGGGCGACTCAGCCTCAAATTAGTACCTAGTGCGATTTGTAAAAAAAAACATTGCCACTGCTCGCTAACTGCACTTGCCCCAACAGTCTGTTAAGGCTACACGGGGAGTAGGAGGGGATTTGTTGTCTCCCTGCTCAAATGAGAGTGCAGCGGTATGAACCTACATCGGTGGCCTTAAGCCAGTGGTGGAAACTCCGCAATCCGGGTGGAGCAAGTCTCTCCAGAGGCTCGGCATAACGATATTGCCTACCCACGAAGTGATACTGACTTTGATCAACCCGCCCGCCTCCCCAAGAGTCAATCCCAAAGCCTTCCGATGGCGAGTCGACCGATCTGGTGGCCACGCGGTTTCCGGTTTGGGCACTCACAGCCGAAGAAGGCGCGGGACAGGATTTGTCTCCTCATGTTGTCGCAGAGGCTCTTGAGTGGAGTCCTTGAGCACGCGGGGGCAGAGAGAGAGCACACCAGAGGACATGGCACACAATCAGCACACGCACGCTTCTGGAGAGAACAAGCAATCGGAATAACTAAACGCACGCACGCGCGCGTTTGTCTCACTGATCTCGTCAAGGAACATGAACCATCAGGTCACGCGAACTCCGGTCGTCATCTTCGCAGCAGCAGCAGCAGCGGAATTTTGGCTCGGCCATCGAACCAAGACGGCGGTGATCGCATCGCGACGCGCTTCTGCGGCCGTCTGGAACGCTCTTCCTTCCGATATTAGGAAGCCACCGGGAGCTGTGCACTTTAAAACCATCTCGATTGAAAACTCACTTCTTTAGAACTGCTGTTTGTGCTTCGTTTGTTGTCCTTCCCCCGCACCGCCGATTTGCACGGTTGGCCACGCATGGTGCGAAAGAAGTTCAACGTACGTACATACCAGGGACGCACGCACGTACGCCGTCTGCTCTGCTGTGTGAACCAGCGGCTTAAAATAGCGTTGCCACCTCCGAGGTACAAAAAGAAAGGTGCCTATCGTGGGAAGAAGAAGAATATCAGAACAAGGGAGAACTACATGTGAGTGGTATCTTTTTATTATTGCTAAGAAAAACGAAAAAAGAACACCTTGGTTTCTTTATTTGCTTTATGTCCCGGTGATAGTTTACAGATTTCCCTGGACAGCAGCTGCCTCAACAGTGAACATACCGGGACAACTCATGTGCAACCCGAGGTGCAGCACTGGCATTGCCCAGACAATTGATCAGAGTTTTATGAATGTCCTCTTTACACGTAGCAGCAGTAGAAGGGTGCTTGAGAAAACCACACGACACACACCCCTTGAACTGCATCTAAATGAGCGTGCGCTTAATGGCAGCAGAAAAGTGTTAAGGGACATAAACACTCAACGTCGTCATCGTCGTGCTCTATCCACTGCTGTGATGAACGCCCTCACCATCAACACACACACCCCAATTGCCAGCGCGAAACATAATTTATCCAACAAAAGCAACAAACTCTTGGGTTTTTTCGGTAAAGTCACGTAGGTAAAATAAATAAATAATAAAAATTCTAAATAATAGAAATAAAATAATAAATCACGACGTTTCGGAGGCAACACAAGCTTCAAGACTTGATACAGCAATCGTGCTGTGACGGTTTCACCTGAAGACGGAAGCTTGTGTTGCCTCCGAAACGTCGTGATTTATTATTTTATTTATATAATTTCTTCTATTATTTATTATTATTATTATTTATTTTTTGCCAACGTGACTTTACCGAAAAAACCTAAGAGTATGAATCCTTGCAGTCACGAAAGCTTCAAATCTAAAAGCAACAAAAACACACAGTGACTGGGGGATGTAAGTACATTGTAAAAAGGCGAGCAGGCGTACATGCGGCGTTTAAATCGACATTTGTGAAAATATGTGCGCACTTACGAGACAGTTCCAGGAACACTGAGCGCGGGTGAAGGCAAATCGTCGAATTGCTCGTACAACAATTTATTAAAGCGTCCACATGCGAAATCGAACGCACGTGAGCGCATCAGCGACGTACAATGTCCGTGCACAATCCGACTCATTGAAGGAAGAGAAGAAACTCAAACCGCTCGACGGCTACGCCACCGCTACCACCGGCGTTGCCAGTTCATCCTTACGGCGGCGGTACACCGGGGTAACCAAATCATACTAATTGGTCGAGGCAATTAAATATTTTATTTTTGGGACGCTATTTTTGTTCCAGGGGTGTGCTTCACTCCGCGACTGCGGTAACAATAAATCCGAAATCGGTGTCACTCCGCAATGTCGAAACGCCAAACATCAGCATTTAAAAATCCGTTATCGAAAATGTCAACTTTGATTCGTGCATCGTGTACAGCTCGTCGAGATGAGTCGATTGCCGCATCGCCGACCATCAACAGACTAAAAATTACCGCATCACGGACATTCCGCGAGAGCCGGGTTGAGCTGGTAACCTCGGGGTACCACCATAAGGTTCAGTTGAAGAACGCCGTGCGTTCTCCTGCCAAAGTACCTCGCGGATGCCCTGCGGAGGGGGGCAGCGGGGGGCAGCAGGGGGCAGCAGGGGGGGGGGGGTGGTGGTGGCTCCGCGTACCTCTCGGCGGCGATGTGCGTGGGGTAGGCGGTGGGCACCGCGTCGGGCGGCAGAGAGGGCGAGCCGGGCGAGGGAGCGCCAGGCACCGGAGCGTAGGGTCTCATCGGGCTCGCCTCGCCCGACTGCCAGAGCGGCGGCGGCGGGCACTGGCCGGGGCTGCCGAGGGCCACGTTCGAGGCCTGCCCTTCCAGCAGGTCCTGCGAGACTGAGCCCAAAGCCACGGGGAGAATAACAACAAACAAACAAACAACAACAACGACCGCCAGTCGACCGTCATTCCTCACCCGCCGTCCCAGCGGAGCTTCTCAAGATTGGCCGAATAGTGAGTGGCGTCTGGAAAATCGTGGACACGCGTCAAATAAATTAAGGAAATAATGAATGGGAATATATATTACAAAGCGAAATTGAGATCGATTTTTGGACTTGTCGTGGAATTTTCTTGGGCTTTGCGAGTCACTGTAAGCTGGCGCTACTGCGCTTTAATTTCTGTTTTAACTCCCATCTGTGTCCAGGTTGCTTTTGACAAACAGGTTAATACCTCAGTGGGCTTTTCGTGGTGGAATGGAGATGGTTTAGTTTTATTTGTATATTTTTGGGTGATTTGTTTACCTTTCTTGTACTTTGCACGACTATCGTGTTTTTGTAGCTGTTGTTGTAACGTTCTTACCCGCCACTACTGGACATCTGTGAAAAAGAGCTTCATAGCTCATCGGATTCCTCCAGTATAAATAAATATTCTGATTCTGTATAATTTGTGTGAAATAAAAAAAAAAGATGAGCTTCATAGCTCATCGGATTCCTCCAGTATAAATAAATATTCTGATTCTGTATAATTTGTGCGAAATAAAAAAAAGATAACTGCAAGGTCTACTTAGATGTATTTACATCGCAGGAGAACGCAGGGAGCCTGACGTTTATTTTAAATGTTAATAATAGACTCGCTATGGGAGGACGGAGCCAGAGAAGATGACGCATTAACTCGCAGTGAAATTTGAGAGGAGACACCGTTGATTAGAACACCCTGCTGGTCATGAAATGGTGCGGACGGACCACGCAGCGTCCGCTCCGTGCACTTTGTCCGTGGTATGCAGCCTCATACCAGGGTACAGGAGGCACACCTCTTTCACAGACAGCCCCTTGCATGCCGCAAAAACAGTTCGTAGATTTTTTTTTTCTTGTGTTTTGTTCAATGCGACGTTGCAACTTACTTTATGAATTAAAATTGAGATATAATTTCACTTCGCGGGTTTCCCTCGCTTTACGCAGGTTCGCTTTGTGCGGAATGTCCGCAAATACAGGGTGCTTCAAAACAATGTGAACACTTCTGAGAATTTGCAACAATACCACGAGAAATATGCTTCCGGGCTCTGGAGACCACCTGGAGAAGATTCCAGGCCACGCGTTGACAACGATGGCGAACAAGTGGAGATTCTTTGACTTTTTGAAGCTATTAACATACTTTTGTTATCACGTTAGAGTGTAGTATCCGTTATTTTGAAAACGACAGTCCCATATAAGTGTTAACATTTTTTAAAGCACCCTGTATATATGCGGCAAAACCTATTTCTGCCCAGAATTTGCTCAGTGCGGTTTGGATTCACTCATATGTGGCCGGACATGGGACAACATTGTGTGTGTACTGTGTGTGATGTGTGTGTGTACTGTGTGTGTGATGTGTCTGTGTACTGTGTGTGTGATGTGTGTGTGTACTGTGTATGTGTGTACTGTGTGTGTGTGTACTGTGTGTGTGTGATGTGTGTGTGTACTGTGTGTGTGTACTGTGTGTGTGCTGTATGTGCTGTGTGTGTGCTGTGTGTGTGTACTGTGTGTGTGCTGTATGTGCTGTGTGTGTGATGTGTGTACTGTGTGTGTGTACTGTGTGTGTGATGCGTGTGTGTACTGTGTGTGTGTGTACTGTGTGTGTGTACTGTGTGTGTGCTGTATGTGCTGTGTGTGTGCTGTGTGCGTACTATTGGCGCTACTCGGCAAGGCAGCCGTCTCGTGCGGTTTCGCTTTGTGCGCCAATTATTTTGGAACGCATCTACTACCGCCGCGTAAAGTGAGAGAAACCTGTCTACATTTACGTCGCATTAATGACGGCGCACTTTAATTCCATATAAAAAAACTAACAATCTCAAAAAATGGTCTGTGGCAAACAGCGGCTGTCTGCCTAAACGAAAAGGATAATTTGCAGGAAAATGTCCAATCGTTTTTACCCAGGTGTTCATAAATCATTTGGTAAATTCTGAGCAATGGCTCGGCTCCAGGGGGCTTACAACAGCACCATTTCCAGATGGCCTCTAGAAATTACCCTGAATGGGACCAGCGCATGAGCAAAGTGTCTCTCACCGGGCGCATAAACAGGGAATAATCTATACCCGCAGCGTGCTTGTCTGTCCAAAGGGAAATTGCTGCCACTGACTTGATGGGTGAGGGCGTCAATAAGAGACAAACCGAGATCCGTTTAGTAATCACAATTCAATGGTAATTAACTTTAAAAGACAGAGAATACTGGGGTTCTTTCCGGCTTCGGAATCTGTTTCGCAAGGTTAAGTGTCTCTTTCATGAGCGCGCAATAATATAAATAATATAAAGAAATCTACGCGTGGACGTGTTTGGTCTGTTGGGCGTCGCTTGCTTCTGAACTGGATTCCGTGCAGTTTACATATCTATTCCGCATCCTGCAAACACACCATCGGCGGCTGACGAACCACGTGCATTCTAAAGAGTTTATCTGAAGCTCTCCGGGACAACTGCCCTACAGATATGGAATGTATCATGCAAACATCGAAGCTGATCTGTACAGCTCGTACAACAGAAGAGTCGAGATTAGTCTATTTGGTCATCTGCAACATTATTTGGTGACACCGCATTGGCAGTGGTGCACACATTTAAATATAAACTCAACACATTCGGCAAAGAAACTGCCGCAAAAAGGATTTTTTTTAGAATAGAGGACATTTAGCACAATGGCCCTGCTTTTGAAGGCAGTGTTTTTGACGATTTTGTTGAGGTTTCTGGACACAGTACACGTAACTCCAGCTTGCAGTGACTCGATTCTTTCAAGTTTCATTACTGACACCAATTTTTTTTCTTAAGCGTACCGCAAAATATCCAATTGTTTTGCTGTGATGGAAACCGCTTTGTTTTTGTCTGTGCGAAAATAGTTGGCTTAACTTAGCTGATGCGTTAGTTTGAAAGGTAATTGGAACTTTTATGATGAGAAAAACATTAGCTTTCACCAGATGATAATAATTTGGTAAAAATAAAATCAATTGGGCTTGAAATGCCAACTTAAAAACAAAACAACTACAGTTAGAAAATATTTATCACTACAACGCAGCCATTCCTGCGTAATATTAGAAAAACAAACCGTGTTCAACGCCACAAACAAACATCAAGAACGTCTGAGAGACACAAATGTAAAAAAAAAAAATCACATTCTATTAAACCAAACGATCGATTATTATGAGAAAAAAAATTATAACAAGTTTTCCTTAACGTTCAACGCAAACTGCATTCCACAATTAGAATACGAACAACAACAACAACAATAAACAAACAAATAGCGGAAGAAAAAAAAGATGTGTAAAGTGTGGCGTCTTGATTAAGAGCTGTAGGCAAAAGTCCCCCAGGAGGGGGCAAAAGAGAGAGAGAGGATTGGCGAAGCAACGTCAGATCAAGTCCATTAATAGAACAGCCAAGCAGTTGTTTTGTTTAACTCTGAGCCAATGCTCTTCACCTTAATTCTTCAGCCTGTGACAACTCTCTTAACCGAACCTAAGAATAAATAAAACAAATTATAATAAATATGTATAGAAGGCCCCCGCACTATATTTAAATATACAAAGATGTGCCCGATACATTATTTAACACTTTAGGGGTCAAACTTTGAAAATATTGAAAACAGCGCTTTGAAGTTCAAGCGTCGCATTTTGTTTCATTCGGTTCTCCTGTGCGATGCTCCGTACAATGTCAAATTCACCCCCAAAAAATACGCGCGCAGAGACTGATACGTTTCGGCTGCGGTGCCGTACACGAGAACTCCTCTCGGAGCTGTTTGATATTTGAAAAGTTTGGCCCTCTAAAGACAAAGCGTGGTGTCGCTTACCGTGCGAGCATGCCCTTGCGTTGGCAAAAAATATACGCAACTATATGCTGGGTGTTAAAACAAGAAAACCAACAGAGGCCGAGTCTAAATTTCCTTTCCCAGCATTACTTTCACGTAGATTGTGCGTATATTTTTTGGAAAGATTACACACCCGCAACGGCAGCCGAATTGAAATGTCCCATTGCTTTCTGAAGTTCTGACGCTCGTGTAGGTCTACCGACAAGATCCATGGCACTGTGCAGCCTAGAAACGCAAAGCGACGTAATCAGCTAGTCCAACTGGCTTGTGAGAAAGTGGATGTTAAATATACTACTGTAATTATGAACAAAAGAAAGCATCCGTTAGTGATCTTTCCCGTGGCTCAAGTGCCTGCTGAAGAAAAGTAGGCCCAGGGGCGGCCGATATCCCACAGTTCAAAGGTCAGAGGTTAGAGGGAGGTGTAAATTTATAATTTTTTTGCTCTCATTCATTTCACTTGGAATTTTAGGAAGGGGGAGAGATAGGGTTGGGTCAACTCGGTGAAGAATTACAGGGGAAAAGCATGTGCTCCCAAAAAATGGGTTTCTTTTCTGTCGGTTCAGGTTTTATCGTCCATCACCATGTGATTATTGACATCTATCACTCAGAGGAAATGCCAGCATCAGGGCTTCAGCAATGCCCACGGCATTGGGGGCTCAGTGAATTAATTACAGAATCCTCTACAGCACAAAGAGGTACATCCCACACGAATCTCCTCCCCAGCAGCTATGTAACCGTAAAGCCTATTTTTTTTACCGTCGGGGTAAAAATGGAGATTGCATCTCCAGCTCCACACTGTCCAATTTGTGGGCCCTATATAATTTATTCCAGATTATGTGCCGTACAAAATGTAACCTGGAGCTGTGGCTATTATTTTGTTGTAAAGCACTAAGGGTGCTGGCAAATGCAGAGAGGCTTGCCAATCCCCAAGCAATGCCAATGATACCTCCTTGGAACTTTTAACAAATTGATTCTGTGTGGACTGCAATAGCAATTTACTAATAGTTGGTGCTCTGACACCCTAACTTACCCGTACATCATTGGGATGTGAGGTCAAGCTCATTTTTGTTTATATA